ACACACACACACACACACACACACAGATATGCGGAAAATACGTCGTGCACGATACGCCAAATGATAAAGTCACAAAGGAAGTACTACAAAGGAAATTTTATACTTTATTTTTATCGTTTACACAATATAGAATATAATGGCTGAATAACGACTGTTATATATATTTTTGGTAATTATTTTGTAACTTGATAACTAATCGTTTGTTGGTATCTAAAAGTGGTAACTTTTGATAAGACAATTGAATAGCAACAGATGTCGCTACAAATAGAGGGATAGGTGCTGCCATTTATCGGATTATATCGTTTTTCAATTCTTTCGTGGTTTCAATCGAAGCTGAAAGACGCTTAGGTGGCAACACTGTCTGTAGACAAGAAGCACGGTAGTGTGCGACAACAAGGACAGAGACAACGATTAGTTCCATCGTTTCGCCGCAACGCGACACTAGCATTTCAATGCCTGTGGCGACATCTATTCTCGCTCAACCGTCTCGTCGAAGGATACATTTCCGGTAAATTTAAAATTATGGTGCCAACTGTATGAAATTCGAAAAACAACATAAAGAAATTATGTAATAGTTATTAAAGAGTTAATAGACAGTCTGCAATCTGCAGTCGTCATTAAGCAATCAGTTAAAAGAATATTAATTAGTTGTAATTTATAGTTTTCATTGTATGTATATCGTTAAATATTAGTTCTAAAAAAAAAAAATAATAAAGTATAAAGTTATTTGTTAATCTTTGTAGTACGGTGATTATACTAGATTATCGATCATCGTACACCTACATGTCTGTGAATTCAGTAAATGTTCAGCTGCAAAAAACGCGATTACCTAGTCCGTGAACTCTTTAAATTGTGTTTCTAAAACTGGGTCTCCAGCTTTTTTGCATTGTTCGTGACATCTACGAAATGTACGATTGAAAATATACAAATTCTATTCGATAGATCGCCAAATGTTATTCGATTCGTTTTTAATTGTATCAGTAAATTTGGATCCTCTTGGTTTTCTTTTTATACCGCAGCTACAATACAATGGAACGTACGAATGAATATCTACAAATTATTTTACTCGATAGATTGAAGCTCTTGGTGAAATGTTTAATTTAATTTAAATAATAAGTAACATTTGGAATTTGGATTATTATTGGTCGATCGCACACACGTGCGAATGGATAAGAATAACAAATAAAGATCGAATATCGTCCATGTATGATTGAATTGCGATTGTTGATTTGCAATCAGAATGATTCGAATGTCGTTTCCTAACAATGTCGGTGATTTCAGCAGTGGCTGCGCGCAAACACAGGAGAAGAGAATTAGTAATAACACTACCAATGTATAATTCCCATCTTCCCAAGTTTTTAAAACGTAATCATATCACGTAATCATATCACGTCTTATCGTATCACGAGTTTATTATTATACGCTTCTACTTCGATTGCAACATTTTCAACTGGTTTCTTGTTGATTTTTTAAACTTGGCAATGCGTGATTTTCAACAGGTTCAGCGCAACGTACACGAGTGCGATAAAAAAAGAAAAAAAGAAAAAAAGAAAAAAAGAAAACAGCCAATAGCAACGAGACAGACTTTTTTCTGCTTACTCTTTGTAGCAAATGCGATCGAACGAAGGTAAAAGTGGGGAATTCACTCTCGCTGATTGCCGCGCCACGCCGGCTAAGATATTGCTTACACGCATATATTCGCTAGCGTTGTCGCGTACAAAACGTCACGGCTGTAAGATCGTCTCTTCGGCTGCTGAGCTTCTGCTGCTGCCACGGGCAGAAGTAGAGATCGCAGATCGAAAATCGAAGAAAGAAGAAACGAAAGTGTCTGCTTCTGAGATCACGTTGTGAACGTGGACCTGTACAGCTGTGCAGCTGGTACAGGATGGAGATGGAATTCAAGAATTTGGAGAATCCCTTCAGGAACCTGAGCTGTAATCACAATTACGTACCATCCGCGATCGAACAGATAGAAAGTGAGTGAAATTTTTCTCGTATTTATCCTGGTCCGTATAAATTGACTTTGATCGATCGATCGATCGTCACTTTGGCATCTGTGCTTGGCGAAAGTTTAACAAAAACTTGGAAAACTGTGATTAAATAGAAGTAAATTTTAGTATACACGTGATAGCTGCTTCTTCTTTCTGCGCTTTTATACGATTTTGTTGATTCGATAGATATAATAATTTCCTCTCTGTTGCACGAAATCCTGCGAAATTATCGAAATTTGTTATTAGCGCTGGCAGGTAATATTTTTTGTTCGCTGTCGAATTGGCTATGTACCTTTCAAGCGTTCCGATTCACGGAGCATGCGCAGAAGCGAGCATGTCGATCGGTGAAAGTTTTCTTCAACAATTGTAACTATACGGTATGT